GTTTGTTAACTACACTTAGTCCCACTCTCTAATTTTAGCTTTTGTTTAAAGCCAGTATATATTTGATATAACATTAAATACAGATATTGAGGTAATTTTTTCTATTAAAATTTTCTAACTTTAAGTAACAGGTTAGAGAGTACATAACAATAATTTTTAACTGGAAACACTTATTATGTTAATCTAAGAAGGTAGTATTTTTGTATATTTGAGGCTTGAAAATGATCAGATCACATCATTCGCTTCTTAAGATTGTCCAGTGGCTTCCTGTTGCAGGTAGAATAAAATCCGAAGTCCATCCTCACGGCTTACTAGATCTGGTCCCTGCCTACCACTCAGTCTTCATATTTGTACCAGGGCCCTTGAGGCTCATTATGTTCCAGTCACAAGGTCCTTTTTATCTCCTCATTAAACACAACAAGGTGGTTCCCTCAGGGCCTTGGCATATTTTGTTTTCTCTGTGTTAAATTGTTTTCCCCTGACCTTCACATAGCTGGCCCCTTCTTGACCACTTAAATGTTACCTCCTTGGTGGTGACCTCAAAACAACCACTCTAAGCAGATTCGCTCCCCTTATGCACTTCTCTCCAGCTCCACNGGACGTGGAGCGGGTCGCCGCCTCAGGTGCGCCCCCGCTCAGGGTCTGGAGGGACGGACCTGCGGTGCGCGCCCGCACCCCGTGACCCCGGTGAGGCTGTGCCCGGGTCCTGCTCCGGCCCGGGAGAGGTTGGCCCAGCGAGCTCCGGCCAGGTGAAGGGCTGTCTGGGTTTGAGTAGTTGCCGCACGGTGTCCTGGGCTGCGAGGGGGGCCCTGAGTAGTGCCTTGGTCATTTGTGGCCAGTATTGAAAGTTGGAGGCGCTGGAGTTGGTTCTTTTGGGGCTAGTGGTGGGATGGTTTGTGATTTTTCTTAAATAGTGGAGAAGCAAACTATGAGCCTTAGTAGGTGGTGGGCTTTTAGTAAATGAGCAGCAGTAGTGTTCATTCACGTGCGATTTAATTGCGTTCTAATTTTGTGCAGTCATGTCCTCAGATTCAGAGGAGTTCTGCTTAAAGAGTTTAATAAGACTTTCATCCGATATTTAAACACACATATTTGCAAATACTCCTGCCTTGAGAGCTACATCGTCTCTTTTTACCAGTATTAATTTTACAGGCATAATGGTTATGAAAGCTTCTGTAGATGATGATGATTCAGGATGGGAGCTCAGTATGCCAGAAAAAATGGAAAAAAGCAATACAAGCTGGGTGGACATAACCCAAGATTTTGAAGACGCTTGTCGAGGTGAGATTGAATTTTTGGATTACAAGTTCAAAATCTGGGAAAGGGTAAAATAAAATCACGTTTATGATTTCTAAACTTACTTCATTTAATGAAATCAACAGGTAAGTGTGGTTTATCATGTTTGTTAACTACACTTAGTCCCACTCTCTAATTTTAGCTTTTGTTTAAAGCCAGTATATA